GAAAAATGGAAGAGAGAAGTGCGCAAAGCTCAAGACGAAGAGTCAAGAGTGAAACGCGCAAAAATTTCAAGAACAAGATTCTTCTGAAGAGTAAAGAAGACTGGGATTAGAAGTAGCGGCGCCCGGTAACCTGAGGCAGCAGCCCAGAGTAGGGCAGGAAGTCGCCAGGAGCCCAGAAGACTTCCTCTTTTCCAAGAGGAAGTTCTTGAAAGAGGAAGAATTGTCGGGACGACACTTTTATGAAGAGGGAGGCAGTGTTGCGGCCGTGCGGTGTTCCGTTCGGCGCTGCTGAAATTAATCAATATCAATCGATAAGAGTTTGAATAGAGGATCGGCCCTTGGCAACGCGTCGTTCTCCGACTGTTATACTTTCACGCGGTGGCCGGACGCGTTTCTGTACCGTTGTACCGTTGGTTTAATAAAGAGCGAGCTTTTTCTTTAAACAGTGTTCTTCCTTTCCGAAAGCGCTCCGCCGAGTATCGCGATCTCGGGAAGTAACGCCGCGAACGCGACAGTATGTTGAAATAATAACACAAAAAGTTCTAAAATTCAAGAGGAAATGCGACGCGGCTGTGATAAAGTATAATGTATAACGAGATGTGACTCTAGAGAGAATTTGATGAAAAACTGTGATGTAACCCTGAGTCTTGTTTAATGTGAGTCTCCTTGTCTCTTATGATGTTACAGGGAGTATTTCATTATCTAAAATAAGTATTTAAATATCTGCCCTTTATTGTCTAAGCATAATTAAACTCGACATTTAAAGTTATCGACAATTGATAAAAGAACATTTCTCGGAATGCTCTGACAAGCAAAACAACTTATACGTTCCGTCATATTTTCTCTTGTAGTAGTCTGTTTTGAGTACGCAATGTTTCTCAAAAAACCCCATAAAAATAAATTCGGACTTGTCAAGTCTGGAGACCTGAGATATCACGAAACAGGTTCACCACAATCTGTTCATCTACCCTTTTTTTAACGTGAGGAAATGCTGTTACGCACTAACTCCCCAGATTAATTGAGACGATTAATTGTTTTCCAGAAAAATATGAGACTTAGGCCCTAAGTTATTAGTCCTCTACCCATTAAAACTTCACAGGTGCCGTCCTCAAACGCTTGGTTGGAGTGATCCGAAAAATATCGGCGATATACTTCTCAGTCACTCCGCATCCGCACAGAAAGTCTGCGCACCTCCCAGTGGAAGAATTGTCTCCATCGCTTCCTCCCCTGAGTGAGGGAAGGAATGACTCTCCTTTCTCTCTCAGTGGAAGTAGAAGTGGTGAGGGATAGATGGCACCTAGCTCATGCCACCCCGTCTTTCGCGTGGCGAGGTGGGAGTGAGACACTCGCACCGCATGCTTCTTGGGGAAGTGAGCCGACCATTTTTTCTATTATGATCAGTGGCGAGAAGTCTTTGTTCACCACCGGAACGAAGATCTCGCGATCGTCCTCCCATGTTGGACATACCTCAAGAGTGTATTGCGCAGGTCCTCGCCTAAATTAAATGTTGTCTAACTATCCTACTCCAGCGTGATAAAGCACCATCCTGTTAGAACTACATACATTCCCTAGCTACCAGATCGATGTTGTCCATTCTATCAAGTTATGTTATAAAAAATGTAAATAATTAGCAACATTTATATTTTTATTGAAAAAGTAAAGTCTGATTAGATTTCCATTTAAGCCACACTACACAATCAGACTCAATGTTGTTGACTTCGCGATATCAGTATGGATTTTCTACGGATCAGTAAATGAGAATTGTGTCGATTTAATTTTTCCTCATCACTAAACCTAAAAGCCTCATCACTAAACAATACATAAGAATGTTGGATCATGTCGCAACATTGTTTGTGCCCATTTAAAAAACTATAGTCTTTGTTGAATATCTTGAGGCATTAATTCCTGCGTTAAAGTAACATGGTACGGCTGGAATTTATGAAATTTTAAAATCCTGTGAGCTGTTGATTTCGGAATATCCAAATCGCTTTCAGTTTGCCCTGTTAACACATGAGACTACCATATCCAACACGTCAAGCGCTTGTGGATCATTCTATTCGTTTAGACGTTGTCGTTGGCGTAAAACATTCTTGGCAATCGTACGATAATTCGGATGCTATCTTCGAGGAAACTGATTGCGATAATTTTTCTCTGTTTGTCGATAATTATTATGACACTCTTCAAGAATAGAATAATATCAACAATTTCGTTGAAGTATATCTGGCATTCAGTTCTAGAAAATTAAATCTCTAAGATTCTACTATCTATTTTCTACTATCTACTTTCTATCTACTTTCACATGGTTTAAGAAGAAAATTTTTCTAAGAAAAGAAAAAAATTAATTTCTTCTACTGATAGATATCAACGAGTTAAAAAGATATATCAATTATTATTCACTACAATTTCAGAAATGGGATAGTGACCTAAGTGTTTCGTATATTTTTTGATCTGCAATTTATTTATAAAAGAAAAGAGATGATTTTGCGATTATTGAAAAGATCCGAAAGCATAAGGATCGACGAGAGGCTAAAGGTTCGTTAATCGGAGCAAGTGTGGCGGACATTATCACATGAATAGCATTGAGAGAAAGCTCGAAAAGTTGAGCGCGTCGATTAGTTTTCAGTTAAATTCTAGATCAACAAAATTTTCACTTCAGAAATAAATAAAGCATATCAGAGCAATCGGTCATTCAGTTTCATGTCATAGGATCTAGTTAACTACAAAGATTATTTCAAGATATACTTGTGTATTCAGTATGAATGGAACTATTGCTTCGCATGATCGTTCAATTTCAATCCAATAAGTACTTTTGTAGCAATGACATATACATTCATCTCATTACTTGAAATGATCTTTGTAGTTAACTATATAGTTATCTTATGACATAAAACATAACTGAACGACCAATTGCTCTGATATGCTTTATTTATTTCTAAAAATTTTGTTGATCTAAAAATGACCCTTTGGGGTCAATTTGGCCCCACATGCTACATGTTTTTATCGTAAAATTTCTTTCTCTATCAATTTCCGGTATCCGGTATTTCCGGTATTTCCGGTAAAAATAAGTAAAAATAAATCATTCTATTTAAATAGATGATTTCATTAAAAAAAAGTTGACCTTTAAATGACTTTGAAAAAAAGACATCTGTGACAAAAATCGGATATGAACCCTAAAACTTTTGTTTTAAAATGTTTATTTTAAAATATTTTTCTCTAAAACATTTTTCTAAAAGAGAGAGGTTGTATATGATACGTCAAATTTTGACAATGCATTATATGATTATGATTAAATATAACGCATAGGCAATGTACTTATTTTCTATGCTTAGATATGATCTAATTAATGAAATATTTCAATATCATTGTATTTCAACGTTATTTACTACTATGATTTACGTGTGTGGTTAGGGTATATGATGAAAGGATGGATGTGGAATTTGTGAAGATTAGCTATTCGAGCACCACAGAATATACTTCATATTACGTTTATTCAGGTCGCTTAGAGTACAATATTTTACAAAGGCTCGAACCACTGTGTTTGTGTGTGATTTTGATGTGAGAATATTTGAGTGATGTAAGAGAGTCTTTAAGAAATCAAAGTGTGTATATTTACAAGTAAGTGGTGTGTGTATGTGTATGCGTGTGCGCGCGCGCGCGCGCGCGCGCGCGTGTGTGTGTGTGTGTGTGTGTGTGTGAGTATTAGGATTGCGGTGTAACGCGTGCGCTGAATGTGGTCCGTCTCGCGGAATTGCTGCGGAGTGGTACCCTCGCGTTGTGGCTTTTCCGCCGTTTCTTATAGTCGATGTTCTTCGGTGTCTCCTTGGATTATCTTTGATTACTTTAGTGTCCACTGCAAGCGGTGGACAGGATATGGGCAGCTAAGGCCTGATTTGCCCAAAAAGAGCTAAGCGCTTTTCACGGCGCCGCTGGCGAGCTCCGATGCCTCCTCGATGGCGTTGAAATTCCGCTGGGCTTTTGTTGCCTCCGCAGACATTCAGCCGGAAAGACCCTGGTATCTGTGAGAGGATAATGGATGGTCGATTCCGGGATTTCGAACATTAGCCACCACTCCGGTGTGGTTGCTCGTCGAAGTTCGAGGGACTTCCCCGGTGTCGGGGGCTTGTCCGTGAATCTTTCCCGAAGATAGCTGCATAACCTCCTCCGAGGTTATGCGGCTTCGTCTAAAGATGAAGGAGGCGAAGTCGGAGGAGAGGGAGTCTCGTTTCCGAAGAGATCTTGGATTAGCTTCCTTTTCCGTCGCGAGAACCCTCGTGTCGAAAAGGGACGTTCTTGGAGCGGAATAGCGTCGGTTGTTCGTGGATCTGGAAGCAGCGACCTTGCGATTGACGAGGAAGGCGACCTCGCGATCGGCGACGGAGCGACTTCAGCGACAGGAAGTAATGACCTTTCGATCGGCAAGGGTGCGCCCTTGCGGTGATAGTGGAGCGACTTCTCAATCGAAGGTAAGGAGTCGACCTTTCGGTCATCGAGGAGCGACTTCTCAGTCGAAGATGAGGATAGATGACCTTGCGATCGGCGGCGGAGCGACTTCTCAGTCGAAAGAGAAGCGATCTCACGGTCAGCGAAGGAAGGTGGAAGCGACTTTGCAATCATAGATAGCAAAAACTTGTTCTCTAGGCAGGCGTTCTTATGAAACTTTTGTCAGATGTCAAGGACAGTCATACTAACTTGAAAAATAAATGATTATATCGATACGTAAAGCGCGCAAATTTTTAAAACGAAAGTCACCTTACTTTTTGATCATAGTAGTATATCGATATTTAACACATGTCATAATATTTCGCTATTTTCGATATTGATATTTTGTGATATGTTCCGGTATTAATTACACGTATGTAATATATAAATTGGTTTTGTACAAAAGCAGAAATAATTTTTTAATATAAATATTATATAATAGTAATTAATATAATAGTAATATTAATAATAGTAATAGTAAATATAATAGTATATTATATCAATATATTTGTATAATAATCTCGATTGACATTAAGAGGGCCCTCGTGATAGCGCCTTTGACTTGTTAATCATATTTGAATGTCCGAAATGTTAGCTCTATGATCAGTCGACTTTAATTTAGCTATTAATTTAGAAACTATTATAGCTTTGGTATTTTCGTATTAGAATTTTCATCATCATTTTTAAGTCAAGAATATGTCACAAAAATTTCGGCCGCAAATTGTGGGACACCCTGTATTTATACACATTTATATATTTATATATGTATATATATATACACATTTACATATATGTATTTGTATAAATTTTTACAATACCTTAATTAAAAAGATTAATACAATACCTTAATTAAAAAGTAACACAAAGGAAGAAACGTTTGTAAATACACAACACATTATTCGATGTCACAAGTTGTTGATGACTTGATTTTATTATAAACAAAGATATGAGATAGAGATCAGGTTCAATCAGATTTGTTAATTGGAGACTGCCAAATGGACAGTAACCTAGCGCTATCAAATGTAAGCATGATTGTTTGAAGTTTTAGAATTCAGAAGTGTTAATTCAACAATTACAAAAATATGAAATGTATTGTATAATACTTATTTCCTTCAGAAGAAGATAATATTGCCCATGCGTTTTGCTTGTTCGTTTATGAATCGAACATAGGCACATTTTATAAATATTTTATGAACATTTTGTTTACTTCTTTGGTTTAATAACTTACGAACTGCGAGAAAATGTTCCCCGAATTAAAACATTTGCCCTGAAAAGGGTAAATTAATTATTTCAAAATCTTCTCCTTTATAATAATATTCAAAAGTTCCGCCTTCTATTGTGGTATAAATCCTCATGCGTCTAAGTAAATTTGTTTGAATTTTTTTCATAATTTCGTCTTCGATAGCTCAAGTAACACAGAAGTTTGTCATTTAATTTGTCGAGAAGTTGTTTGTAAATGATTTTTGTGCAGTAAAAAAATTTTTCTTAAAAAATCCAGTAGATTGATCCGGAGATCTTTCTAACGTATCAAACCATACCATCCAGGAAAATAATAATTTAATAAATTTGTGATAGTTTTGGGGCTATGTATTCCAGCATTATCTTGTTGAAATTTAATTATCATTTCCATTCCATAATAGTATCTTCCAAAAAGTATGATCGATGTTCTGCCAAAAATATATGCGCCATTTAGTGTACCTGAGAGAATACTCGACCCAATATCTTTATACGCATAATCTCAGCCCAGACGTTCATT